AGCCTGGTGGACATTGCAGGAGGACCAAGTTGATGGCCAAATGTGGTCCATCCAGGAAACAATAGGGGCCCTGGAAACCAGAGAGCCTTGATCTTGTGGGAATTATCTCCAAATTAGAGAGTCTCTTTTATCCCTTCTGCTGATATAGGGAGAAAATCCCTGGTGGCTCTTGGTTTTCGAGGGAGGGTATCAAAATAAGGGCAGATCCTGATCCAGCCCTACTTGTGGGAAAGAATTACTGAAGAAATTCCCTTTTGGAGACCAAGATGAGCAGCTAAAGTCTCAAGATGATCCATCATCTCAAACTATAATATGAACAACTACTACAGAACAGCACAGTTTTATTACATGTTACACTTGAGGGTAAATATATGATGGGCAAAGTTTTCTGTTATAAGGCCAAGAAACACACATTAAATTCTAGGTGATGACTAATTCCCAACTACTTGGCTTAAAAATAACTGCAAAGGCCATTCCAGGCCATTGAGGTTAGTAATTCTATGAGGGTACAAACCAGGTGGCATCCTAATCCCCCTGACCTACGGCCTGCTGGGAAGGGACTTTACACCTCATTTTTAGGTTACACCCTAAAGGTCATGTACTGAAGACAGCCAGGAGAACAGCTGCCTGGGACACATTCACGGTAGGTGAGCACGAAGCCCAGGATGATACACCCGTATACTTTCACGCTTACCAAGTAAGGCTATACAAATCTTGGATGGTGCAAAACCTGCTTAGCTGGAAATCCCAGGTATTTTTCAATGGGCCTCCTAGACCAATTTTTCTGGGGTGAGAATTTGCAAAGCACAATCTGGCCTAATCTGTGAGCCTTCATTGGGACTGATTTGTACTAAAAATAACACCTAGATATAATTAGGAAAGGTTCGGTCCTCTGCCATATCCCTGCCAGACAGAATTAACACAATTACTATCCAGAAAGCACACAGACATTGCTTTGAACTTGCAAAAAGCAGAATCTAAGGAAGGAGAATCCACATTGTGAGAGAAATCAGTTCATGTTCTTTAGAAATTCCCTTCCCCCAAGCATTATAAATAGGCCTCTGTAGTAATAGGTCCAACGGTAGTAACTCAGACTCGGTGACAAAGTCCTGTGCTTTCCAGCTTCTAATGTGTTTATTTATGCCAGCCCTGGTCTCTGGTGAGTTCTCCCGCCCTCTCCATTTGTGCAAATCAGAACTTCTTGAGGTTCAAAGACGTCTTTTACGAAACCCTCCCTGGGATTGCCTGCTGCTCCCAGAGGCCTCTTCCTCCTCTGAAAACCTAATGGCACTTCCGTATTCCATTTTATCTGTGTATCTTCAAATCTCCTCTCCTAAGTGGTAAACTTCTTCATGACACATGTTTTTCTTCCTTTTCTCATTTCTCCAGCATGTACTGTACTGGAGAGACATGCAGTAGATATTTATAGAAATAATCAATGAATAAACTCATGAATATAGAAGCAAATTATATTTAGTACAACTTTTTGGAATCCCTATTCCATAAAGTAGGGTGTGCCAGTATATTTTGGGATTGCATTCCTAAGTATCTGATTTAAATTCCCAGTGTTTCAATGTATCAATTTTTCCCGGTCTTTTTCACAGTAGAAAAAGCACCATCTGCTGCAAATTTATTTAACTAATTAATTAAATGATTAATGAGGTCCTAAATGTCTCTGCAGCTCCTCCTTCTTCGAGCTAGCTAACTCCCATTCTTTTTGCCCTCCATTTCTATCTCTGTGCCTTAGTTTTTTCAGCTGTGAAATAGGTTGGTCTGTTACCTCTCTGGGTAGGTGCTGTGAGGACTGAATAATACAGTGCTGCAGAAATGTTTGGAAAAGTGATAAGTGCAAGGCAAAGTGATACTGGACTAGGAACTTTCCAAACCACTGTTAGAATGACCCATTTGACCGCATGGGAGAAGACGGCGCCATAGAACAAGTTCTTAGTCATAATGAGCTCTAGGGAGGTAATGTGCCTTGAGAGTTGAGTGAGGAACAGGCAGAGAGCAAGGCTAAAGAAATTTCTCCCATTAATCATGGTACAGAGAACAGAGATCTCCTGTGTATCCACTTAATCAAAACAGCACACCTTCCCTCCAAAAGCAGCCTATACCTAAAACACACAAGTGCGTTATTTCAAAGTCACAGGAGTTACTGTCCAGAACAAGACAGCCTATTTAAAAATGAGTAATGTGCATTTCTTCCTGGAAAGAACAAATCAATACCCTTCAGTGGGCCCAGCGCCACATACCAGCCTCTGCACAGTACTTTGCCTTTATCCAAAAGGAGGGGTGGAAAGATTTGCTTTTCTTTCCCCTCCCGTTGGCATTTTGCCCCAGTGGGAGCACTTCCCATCTCTCTCCCCTTGAGTCTGAGGTAAAAGAAGTTCACCTCCTACGAACACACGTTATACATTTCAGCTGCGATGGACACTCTAAGGGCAAACATTTTTTTCTAAACACCAAACAGACTTTTCCAGATTACTCAGAGAGGTACAACGTCCATTTTGTAGAATCAACTACAATCCTTTGGCAGTTCAATTCCATTCAACCGAATTTTTAGATCAACATTTTTGAGCTTCTACTAGGTATCAGACACTGTACTAGATACTTTCCATAAATTATGTCATTTAATGTTCTCATTTTATAACAAGGAGATTGATATCAGAGAAGTGTGTGTGTGTACACAAAGCCACACAATTGGTAAGTGGTGGAGCTGGGTTTTGAATCCAGGTCTGTGTAGCACCAAAACCCTTGCTTTTAACCACTAGGCTCTATCAGTTGTGTTGTGCCAAGCACTGTATTAAATGCTAGGGGCATAAGAATCAATCAGATTTGCTCCTTGCCCTCCAGAGAGACTGGTATATTACCTTGTTTCTTACCTATCTTTCATGTAGAGTTCAATGGGTAGTCCTTCTGTGAAGTGCAAACTGCAGAGCTCTGGAGCTTAGGATCTTGCCCAGAGTTGGGTTAGTAGGTGGCAAAGTGGGAATCCAAACCCATGCAATCTGATTCCCCAGCCCACACCCCTAACCACTGTGCTGTCTTCCTCCCTGAAAATATCTGTAAACAGATATTCAGTCAAGGTGTGATAATGTTTTTCATAGAGGTAAGTAAATGCATAATGTAACTGAACCACTGCTTGGGTCAAGTGGTCAAGGACACCAGATACAGAGTTTAAATAATGCCACCAAGGGAGGTGCAAAGGTGAGAAAAGCATTCCATGGAGCAGGCCTCCAAAGAGCAGGAAGATATATCTGTGTCCATCATGCACAGTTTTTACTTTGATCTTATTCAAAGTGATACAGTAGCCCAGCATTGCAGATCAGTCTCCAAAAAAGAATGGTTTGGCTTTCATTTCTTTTTTTACTTTTTATTTTTAGTTACATTTAATAAAGTGCACTAATCTTAAGTATAAGCTTAATGAAGTTTTACACAGGTATACACCCATGTAAACACCACTCGGGAAGATGTAGAATATTTCCACACCTCAGAAGTTTCCTTCATGCCCCTTGCCAGTCCATACTCATAATCCTTGCCTGAGATAATCAGTGTTCTGACTTCCATCACCTCTATTGGTTGGCTTCATCAGTTTTGTATTTTTGCATAAAAAGAATCATAAAATATGTATTCTTTTGTGTCTAGTTTCTTTCGCTCAACAAAATGTCTCAATGTGGTTTCGTATAGCAGTAGTCACTTCTTTTCAGGGCTGTCTCATTTCTATTGTATGAATATACCTTAATTACTCATGTATTTTAATGTTTATGGGCATTTGAGTTGTTTCTAGTCTTTGGATATTACAAATAAAAGTACTGTGAACATTATTTGACGTATCTTTTGGTTGATATATGCTCTCATTTCACTTGAGTATATACCAAGGAGTTGAACTGTCAAACCAAAAGATATATGTATGTATATGTGTGTGTATACACACACACACACACACACACACACACACACACACACACACTCATAGCTTTAGTAGGTGTGGCCAGACTATTTCCCAAAGTGATTTTATCACTGTATACACCTTCCAGCATTGTATAAATGTTTCAGTTACTCCACATTCTTACCAACATTTGATATGGCTCAGTCTTACCATTTAAAAAATCTTTTAATTTTGAAATAGTTATAGATTCAAGGAACCACAATTAAGATGCAGAACTGTTCCATCACCACAAAGACTTCCCTCATGCCACCTCTATATAGTTATACCTATCATCTCCCCCATCCTTTGAACCCTTGGCAATCACTGATTCGTTCTCCATCTATGTTTTTGTCATTTAGAGAATGTTACATAATTGGAATCATACAGTCTGCAACCTTTTGAGATTGCTGTTTTTCACCAATTTTATTTATTATTTTTCTGTTTTCAATCTCACTGACCACTGCTTTTATCTTTATTATTTCCTTCCTTCTGTTTGCTTCAGGTTTATTTTGCTCTTTTTCTAGGTTCTCAAGGTAGGAGCTTAGATTATTCATTTGAGACCTTTCTTCTTTTCTAATATATGCTATAAATTTACCTTTCAGCCCTGCTTTAGCTGCGTTCCACAAGCTTTAATATTCTTTGTTTTCACTTTCATTTCATTTAATGTATTTGTTACAATTTCTCTAGAGACTTCCTCTTTGACCACTGGAATACTTAGAAGTGTGTTATTTAGATTTCACATGCTTGGGGATTTTTTGGTTAGCTTTCTGGTATTGATTTCTAGTTTGATTCCATGGTGGAAAGAGAATACATTCTGTGAGATTTCACTTCCGTTGAATTTGTTGAGGTTTGTTTTGTGGCCCAGAATATGTCTATCTTGGTATATTTTCTGTGGGCACTTGAAAGTAATGTGTATTACACTGTTGGTGGCAGTGTAAATTAGTTCAACCATTGTGGAAGACAGTGTGACAATTCCTCAAAGACCTAAAGACAAAAATACTATTCAATCCAGTAATCCCATTACTGGATATATACCCAAAGGAATATAAATCATTCTATTTTTTTTTTGCCATTTATAGAGAACCCACAGTTCAGTTTTATTCAGAGCAAAGAAAAAAGAAACTTTCAATCATACTAGAAGAAACTCAGCCATAGATTTGGAATCTGTACTCAAACTACACATGCAATGAGGACAATATTCTGCTAATACAATTGACTTGCTGCTGCATTTGTCTACTGTTTGTCTAATATTAACAATTATAAACAGAGCAGTGCAACTAGTATTTGGAACAATCCTTACAGTGTTACAGTGTCAGGCACAACATTTCACTTCTCTTCACACCACTGGTTCTCTTTGCGTACCTGGGCTTCCTCCTCTTCAGTAAAGTCATTTTTGATATTGAAGGTCTTGCGAATCTCCTCAGAAGTTTTCCTCTTGATCATATTGGCAACCGTCTTGCATGTAACATCAAGCAAACCTTTGATGTCTAAGTAGTTTGCAGTCAGAATGAGTTCGAAAAGTGTTCCTTGGTCAACTTTCAGGAATTCTTGGTCCCAAACAGGAATATCATCTGTTCTCTTTTCTTTGTTCTCATCATCCTCAGGAGGAGGAGGGTCATCCTTGTGGTGGGTGCACCACTGAATAACCTTTTTTAATATTGCCGCATTAACATTTGGTAGAGGAACTGGGTCATCATCTCCTTCATCATCCATTCCCAAATCTTCCAACATGGTCTTGATAGTCACAGATTGTTTGGCAATTTCCACATCAACTTCAAATATCTCTCCATCAGAACTCTGCAATTTAATTGAAGGCATGGTGTTCGGTGTTAAGGAGACGGCTGGCCGAAGGCTGACGAGAGCCGCAAGGCGTCAGTGAAGGGAGAGAAAGGCTAAGGACGAAGCCACTACAGTGGCGCGGCGCAGCGTCTGCTTTATAGGAGAGTGCGCAGGCGCCTAAGTCATTCTATTTTAAAGACACATGGTTGCATATGTTCATTGCAGCACTATTCACAATAGCAAAGACATGGAATCAACTTAAATGCCCATCAATGATAGACTAGATAAAGAAAACGTGGGGCTGGGTGTAGTGGTTCACGCCTGTAATCCCAGCACTGTGGGAGGCTGAGGTGGGTGGATTGCTTGAGGTCAGGAGTTTGAGACCAGCCTGACCAACAGGGTGAAACCTTGTCTTTACTGAAAATGCAAAAATTAGCCAGGCGTGGTGGCACATGCCTGTAATCCCAGCTACTTTGGAGGCTGAGGCATAAGGGCTGCTTGAACCCAGGACGTGGGGT